GCACTTCTCTCTGAATCTGAAATAAAACAGCTATCTTTTTGTTATTTTTCTTTTATCCAATCATATTTCTTACTTATTGGTTATGGTCTATTAAAACATCAGGTAATTCTAAATTTGATAGACATGAATTATGCCGTGAAATTCCAGCAATAATCACCCTTCATTCCCCAACCAACTCGAAATGAATTGAAATACCCCTGATCCGTTAAATAGCCGCTCCGAATATAAGCCCCCGGGAGCTTCCAATACAATACAATACAATACAATACAATACAATACAATAAGAGTTTATTGTGAAAATACACTTTGCTACAATAATGGTGTGCTTTCACAGTCGGAACCGAAATCTGTGAAAGCACGCCAGCTAATTTACAGGTATTCCACAAACACAATAAAATTAAGAGTTAAAGAACTAGATATGGAATATTCTATAATTAAAATTATAACAATAAAATCTTAATAAGTATATCTTATATCTAAATAAATACTAAATTCAATAAAAAAGCGTCGAAATTATAAAAATTGCACTAGGTCAACTTGGCTAAGACTTAAGATTCGTTATATTTCTAAACATGTTCGGAATTGAATTCCAGAGTTTCGGACCAATATAACGGACTGAGTTCAAGCCATATGTAGTAGACTTTGGCTTGGGTAGCGAGAGGATATAGTCGCCTCTTATACAATGCCAAAGCAATCCACCCAGACACTTCAGCTAACGACGTTGACACATCATCAGAAGAGGGAGAGTCACTGACGCAGAAGAAGCCGATGATATTGTTGAAGTGTCATAGATTTCAAACTGTGGGTGGTAATTCTGTTTTTTTTTTTTTTTAAATGTGAACAGCTTACCTTAATATTTGACGTTATCTTACTTTTTAGATAAGTATTACATTTTTAAATAAAGAATTTGCTGTTGTCTTTAAGTTTGCATGGCTGAGTATTTAGAGGGCTCTACCCTCTCAAGGGTGTCAGCAATTGTAAGCTACTTGCTCAAACGACTTTGAGACCCAAGCCTTCCGTCCGAGTATAAGCCCAACCAATTTGCTAATTTGACAACGCACATTTCCCTTCTAACATAAGCCCCCCTAAGGTCCTTTGAAAAATATGGTCTTGGTCTTTTATCAAATTATCCCAACCAGTTCCCAACCATATCCTTTAAGGAAATGTATGAAAACAGTCTGGAGAATCTGAATGTGGATATTGCATGGGGCTTTAAGGGTTAAAAGCCAAACCTACCTTCAAGAAACAGCCCAGCCAATTATATGGGCAGGGAACTTCTGTCAGTGGACATGTATTTTCAACGTGATCTGACACCTGGAAGAAAATAGTGCCGGCTTAAGTTTTTGACATTTTTTTTACCACAACACAGACTTCTCGTACGCGGATATAATTCTCAGAAATTTCTCCGCACCATTGCTGAGCATGTAACCGCGTTCATTTCACTACAGTCTTATAAAGGTTTGTCCAAACAACTTCGCAACTGGCGGGGGACCACCTTTTAAAGGGGGTCCACTTTGACTGGTCCTACCGGTCGGATCGAAATGTCCCTTTCCATTTGACAAAATTTTGCCCCCCAGCATTACTGCTCTACTGTATCCAGCTTACAAGAACAATATCCAAACGCGCGGTGGCTTGGGTCAGGTCTGTGCAACCTGAATGTACCGTTCCATTGAGCTCGTGGAATTTCCGAAATCTCTCAAACTGTACACGATGCAGAACAACAATAACAAATACTACGCACTATTTTGAACAAAAACCTTCGGTGAACAGTTAAGATATTTATGAGAAACCTTTTTCATCGCGCGTTATCAGACTATCAAACTTGGCCCAGTCGGTAAAAAAAGGCGCCTAAAGTCCTTTTCATCTATTTTATTTCATGTTTCTTTTCTTAACGCTCTCTTAACATTACAGTCAAAACCCGCTTTACGGACACCCGCTTTAGGGTGGATTTCCACTGTAGCGTAATTTTTACGTGCGTGCACACGCACGTAAACTGGTTTTACTCGCGTAAATTATATGGAGGCAAGATATAAATTAAGCGTCGAGCTTAAACGTGAAGTCGAGTGAGGTTCAACTTTTACGTTTACGCGTGACCTTTCATACATTGCCTCTATTTTATTTGCAAACGTAAATTTTACGCACGTGCGTACGTTAAAATTACGCGACAGTGGAAATCCACCCTTATATGGACACCTTATTTAGTATTACGGACAGTTGACTTTGTCCCTGGGAAAAGAAAGCCCTTTCATTTTCCCAGCACGGACACCCCGTTAATACGTACGGACAATTTCTATGGCCCCCTTAGTGTCTATATTAACGGGGTTTGACTGTACTCCAAATTCAATTTTCTGAATCAGTATTAAATGATTTTGATACCTGGCTATTGCTGAAAATGAAAATAACCTAAGAAACCAAAAATGATTTCACTAGCATCACCTTTTCAATTGTAATTTTAATCCCGCAGTCGTTTGGACAGGCAGTAAGGAGACCCTCGCAATTTTCTAGATGTGCCTGTCAAGACAAAAAACAAAAAGATAAAAAACTGAACAAAAAAGCGAAAGAAACTGCGTTTTGACACTTTCGTTCAAGTTCACGAAACTGAGGCGAAAAGTTAATATAAGTATTTGAAGTATGCCGGGTCGCCACATTACAAGCCAATTATTGTCAGCCTGTTTCAGGCTCCGAGATAGTGGGGTCCGCGATATTGAGCGGGAAGCGCGAAACGAAAAATAAAACGGGAGGAAACTAGGGCCTTCCTTTTTCCCGCCATGCACCGGTCCCTTTTCCAAGATCTTGCGCTCGCTTCGTGTGACTTTCACTTACGCGTCATTCCTACTATCTGAGAGCCTGGAACAGGCTAAAATAGTCGGGAAATCAGAAACGGAGAATATTTTGAATAAATAATTGTCTCTTGATATGCCCGCCTTATTTAGGAAGCATATGTGAGATGATGATGCGTGGAAGTGAAAAATGGCGCATTTTATCTAATTCCTCGTCATGCTGCTACTATTATTTTATATTGCCTAGTTAGCGTCTTATGCCTCTCAAAATCAACAACAAGAATCAATTTACTTTTACCTCCATCTGGCATTGTGGATGATGTTCTTGACAATAAAGGCACCTTAAAATTCTCCACACGCACGTGTTGGCCACGTGTTCAGTCAGATCCTTTCTGGCCAAGTGTTCTCCACATTTTTCATTGGTACAAGAAACAATTTTCCAAGGACAAGAGGCCAAGTGGTTCTGTTAAAATAATCAGAAGACAGACCATACAACTTACATGATACATGACTGAAAGTTTCATAATCATATGAACGAGCGATTGAATTCAGTCTCACCATGGCCAGAACCACTGCAAGTACAGCTTTAACACATTCAGATACTTATGAAAGTGGCAGTGAAGGAGGGGAGGGGGGGCTTATTAGGACTCTTAGGTGACAGGCTTGGCCGGCTTGGCCCCGAAAACAACTTTTCTCGGCCCTGCGAGCTTCAGTTTGGCCAAACAATTAAACGTGGGTGGGAGGGGGCAGGAGGAAGGGGAGGTCCAGACCTCTTCCTAAGATCTGACACTATACATAATATACACCACCTCCAAAGAATATTTCTTTGCAAGCGTCGGTAGGAATTTTTGAAAATGCAAGTTTCATAATAGGGCGACTGTTTGCAAAATAATAATACATAGATCAGTGCTAAAGAAACACTTTTACTTGGAGTTTACTGTCGTCCGTGTGGCGCAGAACTCATTTTTTGAGTTCACTGTGAGTTCACCGCTGAGTATGTATCTGGGAACAAAATTCCTCGATAGTCAACGGTGAACTTTAAATCTTCAAAATCGCTTAAAATTTGGCTTAGGCCCTTTACAGTTAATTTAGCATTGATCTTTACATAAATTCCGAACCGTCGCTGCCCTAGCTAGTGCAAAAGTCAAGGAAAATTGCCACGCTCCAAGAGTGTTACATTTTAATTTCCTAAACGTTGTAGGCGAAGGGGCATTGGGACTTGCCTGAACACTTTTTTGGGCATTGGGGTTGGGTGTTTGATCAACCAAAAGTTTAATTGACGGGGAGGTTACAAAGGGGAGGCACGTCAAAGTTTCGAATTCTAAGATAAACAATCCTAACCTCTTTTTCCCTCAGCTCACCACGCCAGTCGCAACACTCATTGGGACACTTGATGACATGTGACAACACCTTTCTTTCGGCTAGTTTGTCAGGGAATATGTCCTAAAATGTAAAAATGGAAGAAAAATACTTATTCATAAAATCATTTTCTGATTGTTTTTTCTTTCTTTTTAGTAATCAAAGTTGAGCGCTTTTGCCTGTATCACAGTAAGAATAAGAAAGTGTGAGATACAACGACGGCAACGGAAGCGAAAACGTCACTGCTTAAAAAATGAATTCGCCTTTATGAAAATTCAGCGCGATTATCATTTGTCTAATGCAGGTGAACTCTCCTGGGGTTGAATTCTAACCAAAAATATCTAAGTCGAAAAAGAGAAAGAGAAATTGTCGTTGCATGTTCACGTTGTCCATAAAACTTGAAACTAGTCAACTTTACGTCAAAGTCGTTTAATGACGGCAAAGAAATGTACAAAAAAGTGTGATGCACATGCAAAGTTGTTGTTTAGTTGATCTAAACCTTTTACTCTTTTGATGTTCTCGTTGCCGTCGCCGTATTGATATCTTAAGCCAGTTCCTATTAGTGTTGTAGTACTGACCTTATTTCGTTCCAGTGCTTCTCTGTCCAAAGGACATGTTATCTGGTGGCCCTCTTGCTCCTGCCTTTGATAATAATACCGAATATCATTACCGTCTTCCAAATTTGGACTAGTCGCTAACATGGTTATGGAGAATTAGCCAGGGGAATTTGGGCCAGCCGCAAACGAATCAATATTTTAAATCAATAACAAGCGATATTGTGTTGATTAAGATGTATTCTTATTTTAAGAAGGTGTAAAACACTGCGCCTCTCGCTCTTCCTCCTCTTTTTTTTCAGCCCACTTTAATCGGAATCTAATCAAATGCTCCATTGCATGATTGATGAAGTGATTCATGACTGAACACAAACATCACATGTACAAAGCAATTCAAGAGTCTGGATTCTTACATAACAACAGTTAGAACATTCCAAAGTTACAGTATTTAGGGCGCTCCCAACAGTACGATAGCCGGCATTACTTACTGGATTAGAAAATACAAGTACACTTCGAAGGCTCTAGCTATCACATTTAAAGAAGTAAAGTTATTCTCTTCAACTCTACTTTAACTACAGCGTTACGCTTCGCTACAGTCAAATTTAATTAAATAATACAAATTACAAGCAGGCTCGTTTTTAAACGAAGAGACATTTTACAGAAAACAGTCGTTGGGTGCCACTGTGTGATAAGCATCCAACGAGATTGCTCCTGGTTTTTAAGGATGTACTTGTAAATTATACCCAAGTACGTTCAACTTATGGCACCAAATACAAAACGGTGTCTAAATGAACGGCAGCCGATCAAATTATTTCGTTCAGACAGTCCGTTCTAGCGCGACTTCATCGGTTTTTTTTTTAAAAAAAAGCACTTTATCCCAGATACTAAAGCTTTTTAAAAGAAGACATTCGTGTAGGAGTCTCAACGTAACCGGACGTTTTGTTCGCGTCTTAATATGAGGAGTTCACTAGATCATTATGGGCCTTGCACCGACCGTTTCGTATCGGTTGAGTCGGTTGTTGTTGTATGGCTGGCTGACAACAAGATCATTAAACCCATTTGTTGTAACCTAGCGGCCAGCATCTGTATCCTTGTATCCTAATAATAAATCGCTATACCTAATTAGCTTATCTCCGATACATATGAAACAAATCTAGTAGACACGAGAAACAAATGCATATTGGACTGTCTAAAGGGAATAATTTGATCGGCTGCCGTTCATTTAGACACCGTTTTGTATTTGGTGCCATAAGTTGAAGGTACTTGGATAATTTACAAGTAGATCCTTAAAAACCAGGAGCAATCTCGTTGGATGCTTATCACACAGTGGCACCCAACGACTGTTTTCTGTAAAATATCTGTTCGGAGAAGCAAAAATCGCCTAGAATTTTCCATTGCTTGAGGACGGCTACAAATTTCTAGATGACCGTTCCATTCATGTACAATTTTCGAAGCTTATCTAATTATTTCCTCATGATTTTCTGAAGTTTAATTTTTTACATTTCACTGCCCACTTTAGGCTATCTTTCGTAAAAAAGGAAACCTAAAATTTTCGGATTCAAAAATATGATGGAGAGAGGAATCAGAAAAATTCTCACTTTCGTAACACGCTGAATTGCATCTAGAATTGTGCAAATAATACTGAAGTCCTTGTAATTTCGAAAAGACTCAATTAACTTCCCCTAGGATGACCGAACAGATACAAATTTTATAGTGCTACTTAGAATGCATCTCTAGAGATCTAAAAGTACTCTGGGTAGCCCTAAAAAATGTTTTTAATGTATTTGGAAGGAACTCGTCGTTGGGTGCCCCTGATCATGCACTATCAATCAACAAGTTTTACCAAGAGCTATGTAGCCTACCTGTACAACACAGTACCAAGAGATCATGATCTCTTGACCGGTACTGGTAATGTTGGAGTACTGTAACATACAATATACACATCTGATAAGAACAGAAAACACATACAAAACTATGAATCCGAAGCTTACAGCTAGCAGTACAGCTAGGAAGTCTAAGAATACCTTCGCAAAAATTCCTCGAGACACTGCCGGCAAAACCTGTGACCACATCTTGTAAGAACCGGTTCTTTCGAAGGCAGAGAACATATTATGCAATGGAGGTCCTCATCAGGTTGGACAACAAACTGCTCGTCATGACCAGAAGGAACAGAACGGCTATTCGGTACTTCCGCCATTGCTAAAACAGAGACAACCTTGTCCCCAGGGTCTTCTTGTTTTCCAATATGGCCGCAACACCGGAGAGATGCATTAATGCCTACGGGCAGCAGGGGGGTGCTAATGGGAATTACCTGAGCACTTAATTTTACAAAACCAGTTTCAGAAACATTTGAGTTCCATTCTTCTAATTGGCTACAAAAATATCGGCGAGGTTGCTTTCGTACATGCACTTGATCGAGATAGGGATTAGCCGTTCTCTCAATATCAAAGAACGCACCACAGGTGTTCCAAGCTCACGTTACGAGTGTGTTATGCAAATCAATTTACATAACACACTCGCAACTTGAGCTTGGGATACCTGTGATCGCACGTACGTTTTCACCCTTCTATAGTTGCAAAATCATGTCCGTGAAGTCGCAGTGGACACTGGGCGTCGATAAAACCCGGAACATGGAACATTCCGGAACATTCCGGAACATCCCCAAACATGAAAAAATAAAAATAATTGTCATGAAAATAAATAAATAAATAAAATAATAATAATAAAATAATTTTTATAAAAATTAATAATAACGTAAAATAACAAAAAACCAAAAGAGAAAGAAATAAAGAAAAATAATAATTTGTGGGGCGAGGTTCTATGGAAATGACAGTAATGAGTGAGGGTTGGCTTCTATATTCAAAATATATTCAAATGGGTCGCGAGGACGGGGGTTTTCAAGCTTTACTCACACAGCCGGCTACCTCTTGTAAATGTTTGCGATGCGGTTTAACGGTTATTCATTTACGGCTTTGCGACCGTAAGAAGAGCTTAGGGGCTCGTCGATTTGGACTTTAGTAACTTAATTACCGACTCGGCTTGACATGACATACTGCACCGACATTTCAGACCATCGCAGAACCGTAAATGGTTAACCGCCAAATGATTAACTCATGGTAAACAATTACAAGAGATAGCTGTGTGAGTAAAGCTTGAAAACCCCCCTCCTCGCGACCCATTTTAATATATTTTGAATTTAGAAGCAAGCCTTCACTCATCACTGTCATTTGCATGGACCCTCACTCGCCCAACAAATTATTTGCGACAAAATATTGTTATCTCATACTCGGAGATGTTTCTTTTTCTTAATCATTTCCTTATTTTCCTTTTTTTTTTATATATTTTTTTATTTTATGTTATTTTGTTATTATTAATTTTTACAAAAACTATGTTATTATTATCATTTTAGTTAATTAATTTTTTTTTTCATGAAAATTACTTTTATTTTTTCATATTTCGGGATGTTCCGGCATGTTCCGGCATGTTCCGGAATGTTCCGGGTTTTATCGACGCCCGTCCCCAGCATTAAAAATGAAAAAACAAAAACAAAATTAATTAGGAAAAATTGGTTTACTAGATGTTGCTTAAGAACTGAGACCCTGCAAAATTACGAGCTCTTAACCTTATTGATACTACTCGGTAATCAAAGTAAATAAAGGGGAATTGAAAACCAAGATGGCGTTTCATTAGTGAATGGAGAAGGGAAGAGTGACGTCACAAAAATTCAAATTGGCGAAGTTATGGGATTGCTTGTCATATTCAGAAAGAGCACGAAATAAAAGGCCCACTTCCCAAAAATTAGCCTGTTGGTGCAAATTAGTGGAGAGATATAAGCATCGTGTTATGTTCCAATGACTCCAAACAAATCCTTCTGAAATAGGCTTGGATCGCAAACGTTACGATCCAAATCAATTTTAGCCATCCATGTGCTTGATCAAAGTGTCCGCGAAAGGGTTCTAGCGCCATGAGGGGCAATTTCAACGTGCAATCCGGTTCAAGAACAGCTAAGAACTTGAAACCGGAGGAAAGTCAGGAGCACCCATTGAATGCTTTCTGAAAAATATCTGTTCGGAGAAGCAAAAATTGCCAAAAATTTTCTATAGGTTGAGAAAGGCTAAAAATTTCAAGATGACAACTCCATTCATGCACAATTTTAGAATCTCATCTAATAAGTTCCTTAAGATTTTCTTGAGTTTGATTTTGCGCATTGCACTCCCCAGTAAGCTATTTTTCGTAGGAAACGTAAAATTTTCAGATTTGAAAATGTGGTGGAGAGAGGATTCAAAGAAATTCTTACTTTCGTAAAAATTTAAATTGAATCTAAATATTGAAGCCCTCGTAATTTCGAAAAGACTTAGTTTCCCTAGGATGGCCGAACAGATACGAATTTTACAGCTCAGATTAGAATGCATTTCAGTCTAGCGATCCAAAAGTACTGGCTCTGGGTGGGCTAGAAGGTGTTTTCAAGAATGTATATGTAGAAGGAAACCTTTTCGTAAATATAAGGTTTTAAATAAACGTCAATATCGCAAAGGTTTTTATACCTACAAGAAAATAATCAACAGTTTCTTAAAGTTTTATCTTTATTTATTAAGGATGCTCAAAATCATAGAAATCGGTTGAATCATTCATTCTGAAAACGCGAATCAAAAACATAACCAACACGCTTATAAATAGGCTCGGGCCACCTTAATCAGCCTGTCTAAACATATTTGCAGTTGTTTTATTTTACTATCGCTGAAGACAACACACGGGCTAGTTTGTTACCTAAGTCGTTCTCTATTCTTACATAATTTCACTAAATAAATAAAATTCTGTTTTAGATTGCTGCTTTACAGGGTGTGATGAACGGGAATAAACAAGAAAAGAGGCATACAGTGCGTACACTGTACACTGATTCTTGAACACTGCAAATCGAAAACCGTCCAAAATGTCACCACATGCACAGTGTAGAATTAACCATAAAAGACTTGTTCAAAAACTAGAATCCAAACCAAACTTAACAGACTTCCCCTAATTCTGTTTACAACATGTATTACTGAATAATAAAAGGTTATGTTTACTGGGCATTACCCTTACTAAATACGACCAATTTATTCTTCAGTCAATATTTTTACCGCGTTAACTTTGATCTACTAATCAACAACTGCATTTTAAGGTTGCTTCCTTAATTAATCAGATCTTGCAACAGCGGTATGCGTAGCGAACGTTGGAATTGTATGCCGATCCTTGCCTTTGGAATCGAAAACTGACCAAGAAGTACTTGGATGGGCAAACCAAATAGTGTCGGTCTAAATTCATTATCATTGCATTAGAGCGACCCGTCCATGCTGTATACTTGTCAATACACGTCCCCACGCCATTCAAGCGGTTTTCCAGACCCTATGAAATAAGTGAAGAGAATAGAGAAACTATCTTGAAAACATCTCAGCAACTCATACGATTTTCTTGCGGTCTTAGTTTTTAGAATTCTTGTGTTACAAGAATTTGGGACGACGTTGAGAGTAAACCGGCCTTACTTCTACTACTACTTACCACTACCACTACCACTACCACTACCACTACCACTATCAATACCAGTACTACTACCACTACCACTACCACTACCACTACCACTACCGCTACCACTACTACCACTACCACCACTACTACCACCACTACCACTACCACTACCACTACCACTACCACTACCACTACCACTACCACTACCACTACCACTACCAATACCAGTACTACTACCACTACCACTACCACTACCACTACCACTACCACAACCGCTACCACTACTACCACTACCACTACTACTACCACCACTACCACTACCACTACCACTACCACTACCACTACCACTACCACTACCACTAACACTACCTCTACCACTACCACTACTACTACCAAAAATCATAAGAAAATATGAAAATATTGCAGAATGGCGTTTACTAGTACAAGTCTGGCTGAATTTTTGATTATCTTCTTCGAGAATACCGGAGCTTAAAACTAGGCTGTGTTTATAAGCTATAAAGTCACATACCTTAATATACTGTCTTTTGTCTTTTTAAAAGAGTTATTTATTCAGTTTCTAAATTTGTCTTCTCTTCTCTAGTTCAGGCTGAGGGTTTCCCCCTCCCGCCAAAAGATATGATATTGTCATTCTGGCTCCCTGGGAAATCAATTATCAGAGTGCCGGCCAGACGCCGAAGGCACGAGCGTGGAAGCCGAGAGAAAAAAGTAACACTTTTCCCCCGTGTCACTATGTTTTTTTTTCCATTCTAGAACATATATAGATATATTTTTTTCTAATCACCCAACTTTTTCTTAAAGTTTGTAATAGTTAAAGCTAATTAATGTTCGTAACTTTGTTGTTGTAAGTAAATTATAAGTATAAAAACTGACGTTTCAATTTTAGGCTTAGGTCACGGATCTTACCTGGATTTTTTCTTGCAACAGGCACAATTTATAATTTGTGATGTCTATGGCACTGGCCGTATGCGACAAACTGAAAACAAGAATGTAGATGTCAGTTAAATGATAACTTCCGCATCGGTGAAACATCGAATGAATTGGAGGAGGATGGTGCTAATGGGGGTACCCAATTCTCAGTTAACTACTAATTTTGGTTAGCTATTAACTTTCACTTTCCTCAGCGAATATTATTCTGTCATAACCCGAATTTTTCTTCTTTCAGCAAGTCTATCACTTTTGGGGGTAGGCCCTAATAAAATCGAGGTATAAATTTACATGAACTCTGCCACTAGTTAACAATTGTTGGACGAGGTTGAGCAAAATATCGTGATTTGTCTGTGGCAAGCAGATCAATTATTTGGCTGAGGCAAATAATTGATCTGTGAGACACTGACAAATCACGATATTTTGCGATAACCGAGTTCAATAATTGTTTTATCATTCGATCACAGAGTTTGTTTTTTTAATGAATATCCTTGGGAGGCAAAGCGATCTGCCATTTTCACGCAAGAGCGATCGCAAGAAGGAGAAAAGCACGGTTTTCTTTACGCATGAGCAGAATATTATTTGCAGCCAAACACGGTTGGACGGCATTGCACATGAGCAGACTATTATTTGTAGGTAGTTATTTGCAGGTCACGTGGTGGGCTCTTGGCCAATCAAAAGAAAGAAAAATTTCCTTCGAATGATAATACAATTTATTAGTAACTGAAATATAAGTCGTATGCCCATCAATATGACACCAGCCTCATGGATCCAGACGCACCAGTCATGATCTCGTACTGATCTTCCCTACATGGTCATGAATGTCCTGCTATAAACTGCTTCAAAGTCACCTTCCTCGGCACTTTCACTATCTGATCGGAATCAGTCTTGTACTTATCTGGTTGCTGTATGTCCTGTATCTTGTCGTTGGCCTAAGTTTCAATCCATTTTTAATCGTTGCAAATTGCAACCGACGACGAGAAACATTATCAATGCCAAAATATAGTCTTAAATAACAAAACTGAACGATTATTTTTGGAATTCATTTGGTGACTGAATTCAATCACTGTTTGCACCAATGGGAGAGACATAGCTGAGAGTGCTGACAAAGTATTTGGCACGGGACAATTCGACTTTTATTTCGTGATTGTAGCTCTCTTCGAACTCGTAGTTCTTTTAAGCGATTCCTTTACTGTGGTTCCGAAGTCTTGGGCGTAGTTCAAAGCACTAAATGTGTTGTGTTGAAGTGAGAAACCGCATGTAGGTTTTCGACTTGCGTTGTCAGAAGGTTTTTTTTACCTCGATATAGATTTTGTCTACACCCACTTCCGCGTCCCGCAATGTTACCTTTTTCGCGCAGGTGTACCTTACTCGCATATTTCAAAAGCCTCATAAAGATATCCAAGGGTTTTAAGAAATGAAACTGTCGCAACTGTTTCAGTAAGACCGGCTTAAACTCGAGCTTTTCTTGCTATTAAAAAAACCTCAATAGTTAGAACTCCAGTATCAGTTACAAAAATGATTTCTCGTAAGTACAAATTCCATGTACTTGAAAGAAAGAATGCTGATTTCTTTGAACCCTCAGAAATTCTTTTTAGCAGAACCAATGCTAAGAGTCAGAGCTTTTTTATTTGGGTAATGTTTAACTTGACGATCTTTTGGGTCCGTGAAAACAGTATTTTCCTTTTCCGAAGACGGAAATCTTGTTAATATCAGAAGACGAATTATTCGTTGAGTTGTCTACAACCAGCTCTTTCACTTACGCTGTATTTCTGTTTGTCGGGTACTGCCCCGGTGTGCCTTTTTGCACACGGTAATATAACTAAAAATTAATGAATAAGGCTGAGTATCTTATGAAGAATTATTGAGATCAAGGCGGGGTGTTATCTGTCGAGGCCGTAGGCCGAGGCCGATAACATCCTCCGAGATCTCCATAATTCTTCATATGATACGAAAGCCGAATTCAATACTTGTTTTATTATTCATTCAAAATAATTCCTAGTTTAAAAACATAGCTAAAACAAGTTTAGCTGCATTGATGTTAAGTTTATCTTCGATAGTTTACGTTTAGGTTTGTCCAGCTCCGCAAATATTCTCCAAATAGCAGATGTCGCCCTCCGAGTTGTCTTCTTGCTGTTTTTGCTATGTTTTTAGCCATTATTTCGCCTAGTTCCAGCTGTAGTTCTTACTCTTGAAACGAGTGAAGTGGCCGCCATTTTAGTTTTTGTAACGAAAACAACTCAATCTCGTCCCTAGGTCTTCTCGGTTAACGGTGCAATAACCTGTAGAAGGCTACATTTTTGACGTCATTTCCTACACAAAATTCTTCCAAATTTGGTCATCAGTAACTGATTATGGTGAATTATGCAAGTGCTTTTAGCCAATCAGAATTGGGGAAATATTTTGAATGAATAATAAGTTAAATTAATGTGCTACCTGGTCATAAGCGGGACAGAAAAATGTCAGAAAACAGTATTTTTGTTTGCAAAAAGTTTGTTGCTTTCATTAACGTTAACATAATATCACTTAACTGTTAACTTTTCATTTATCAGCTAACTACTAATTTTTTGGCCAATTATCAGTTAACTATTATTTTTTTGGCCAAATATCAGATAACTGTTAACCCCATTCGCACCCTCTTGGAGCAGCACCCTAGAAGAATCAGGGTGAAAATTATATCAAACTGGGGTCTGAGTTTTACGTCCTCGCCCGTGTTTTTATTAGAGGAATCGGTCACCGCTTCTAGTTTTGTCTTGTCAGTGATTTTAATTTAATATATGTTCTCAACAAATTAGGCGATCACTTTGATTCAAAGTTCGATCACTCAACATTTGGACGCTTGCAATTTACGTCAATCGATACAGGAATCGGTCACCGCTTCTAGTTTTGTCTTGTCAGTGATTTTAATTTAACATATGTTCTCGACAAATTAGGCGATCACTTTGCTTGAAAGTCAATCGATACATTATAGCTATTTTCACACATTCGGCGGTGACTTAGATGTAACAGGTTCTTTGCATTGAACCTCTATTTAAAAATAGACAATAGAGCATTACCTGCACGAAGTGCCCGAAATTACTGGCAAGACAACGAGCAGAATCACTGCAAGGAGGCGAAACATCGTTACTCTTCTCGTTACGTTAGTTCAAATGATGAAAAATATATTGAAACAGGAGCTGAAAAGTAAAAACAAAACAAAAAACAAAAAGAAAGCAGATTAACAGAAGCTGCTTGAAGAAATTTCAGTGGAAACTAAAGCCGAGATGGATTAACTGTCTGAGTTATACAGCTATTTCAAAAAACGTTGCATGGCAAATCGATGGGCCTGAAGGAAACCATACAGAAGGCTGAGTTCAGTTTGCTACGAAAGCGTGACTAAATTTATCTCCGTTTGGAAGAACTCATAAACATAAAGTGATCCTTTTTCTAATACAATCACTGTTTAGATAGCAAAAATCTCCAACTAAGTCATCTTCCTAACCTAGTCTGCTGTCATGTAATTACTGTCAGCTTAAGTGTAGAGCGTCAAGCAAAAGCTTACTAATAGAAATTCAAGCGTACCGCATCACAAAACAAAGACCCCTAACGAAGTTAGTAAAAATTTTTCTGGATTTTAGTTTTATCTGCACTAACACTTTATGGATGTAATACTCAGCTCAGGAGGATTGACAATTCTGTATGTTGAACTTTTGAACGAAAAAGGTGAAAACCAGCAATACTCGCATCTTTTCCTTCACTTTTCACTATCACCTCCAAGTTATCGAACTGAAACTTGTTTTAAGGACAAACTGGGACCCGTATTATCGGGGTGTTATCCCATACCATGATGACTGAGACAAAATCCGGAATACGCGTAGCTA